TTCCAGATCTCGTGAGATGTGGTACACCTGGGCTGTGTAGAAATTCTGATCTGGGCCTGAGTCTTTTCATCAAACTGCACCCCCTACAGGTCTATATTCCTGACCAATATCCACTGAGTGGTCCTACATTGATTGGGGGGCAGATCAGCTGTCCTTGTTGTGCCCCAGTGTTCTCCTGTTGGGTCCGTCTCCCTCACCGCCCATGCTCCAAACACTTCCCATGTGATGGGCTGTACACCAGTCCCTTGCAATGACTCACCAGCCTCTAAGTGGCTCCTGTTTTTCAGTTGTTGTGGCTCCTTCCTCCTATGTGGCTCTACAGGAACCATATTAGTAGTCTTGCTGGCCTGGGGGTCACCAAGGCCCTCTTCTCCCCTGCAGCCTCCAAGCATCTTCACTCGAAGGGCACAGTTTCAGGTTTTGCCAGTTCCTGCTCCGTGTGCTCACCAGCCCCAGCCTTGAAGTGGTCAGTGCTTGAAATGGTAGGAGCAGTTCTTTCTCTCTCACACCATGGCTTCTCCCACCTTCATGCACTCCATAGGTCTCTCCTCCTCTTTCCCTGATTTCTGGCAGCCCCAGTTTGGCTGTCATTGCTTTTTAATAGTTGTACATTGGTTGATTTGTGAGAGAGATGGATGCTGGGGACCATCGATTCTGCCATCTTGACCAGAAGCCAGTATGAATATTTTAATAATATTAAATAGCCCAACCCATGAACATGAAATGTATTTCCATTTATTTATGTCTTTTTAAACTTTTTCCAGCAATGTTTCATAGTATTCATTGTACAAGTCTTTAACTTCTTTGGTTAAGTTAATTCCTAAGCATTTTAGTCTTTTTGATGCTATTGTGCATAGAACTGTTTTCATAATTTCCCATTCAGACTGTTCATTGTTAGTATATAGAAATGCAACAGATTTTTGTGCACTAACTTTGTATCCTTCTACTTTGCTAAATTCATTTTTTACTTCTAACAGTTTTGTGTGTGTGGAATCAACAGGGTTTTCCACATATAAAATTATATCATTTGTGAATAAAGATAATTTTACTTCTTTCCTTCCAATTTAGATGCCTATGCATATATTTTTCTCATCTTATTTCTTATTTCTTTTTCTTACCTAAATGCCCTGTCTAGAACTTCCAATACTATGCTGAATAGAAGTGGTGAAAGTAGGCATCTTTGCCTTGTTCCTGATCTTAGAGAAAAAGCTTTCAGTCTTTCAACACTAAGTATGATATTTGGATACTTGCTGTGGGTGTTTCATATACAGCTTTTATCATGTTTAGGTTTCCTTCTTTTCCTAATTTGTTGAGTGTTTTTATCATGAAATGGTGTTGAATTTTGTCAAATTCTTTTTCTGCATCAGTTGAGATAAATGTGGTTTTTTTTCCCTTCCATTCTGTTAAGGTTGTATACTACACTGAGGATCTCATTATCTCTTGTTTATACTAGTACATTAGACTCATACCCGGTATCTCTGTCTCCAGTTTTGCTTCCCTTAAATCTAGCTTCTGCACAGAAGATAGAGTGCTCCTCTCTAAGATGTATATTTTTGTGGGGAGGGGAGGATGGTGAAATCTCTCCCCACTTAAAAGTTTTCTATTGCTCCCTAGAATTCAAGTTCTCAGTGTGACATACAAGACCTATTTACTTTTCCCTCATCCCTTATCTTTTTTGCCCATTTTCTTCTGCACTAACACCAGGCTGTGCTTATCTCTCCCCTATACTACATCAGATGCTGTTTGCTCTGAATGGAATATGATTGCCTTGATTCTTTATTTGGCTGACTGTTACTCATTCTTTATAATTCAATTTGATGTTAACTCCTCTAGTCTTTCTTTTCTTAAGTGTTCATTCACAAATATTTATTCTGTGTCTGGTACATGCCAGGCACTCTGCTAGGTGTTAGGACTGCAGAGGTGGATAAGGCAAACAAGGCTCTTCCTTGCAAACACCCTCAATATCTGTGTTCCCCTAGCATCTTGTGTTTGCCTCAATTTTCTCATTTATCATATAATATGAAATTATCAGTTTATATTCATCTAACCAGCACATATTGAGGATTCAATAAGTGTTTCCTTAACCACATGTATAAACTAGTGCTTTTAACATTAACTACGTGTGAAATTTCCTGTTTTGTTTTTCTGGGTTACCCCTCTTCCTCCTCCTCCACTGTCAACTGAGAATTGATCAATTCACAAGAAGTCAGGTCTATGGAGCCCAGACACTATCTCACCTAGATACGTATCTATAGATACTAAAAAAAATCATTAAAAGGAGGCTGAGGAACAAGGCAGATAAGAAGAAAAGAGAAAATATTAAATTATCATAAAGAAAATGTGTTTGTAGGGCCAGATAAATGTTGTCAGAATCAAAATTTCCCCTTCGGATCCCTGTACTGGCAAACCACAAAAAAAATAAATACATACATACATACATACATGCATGCATACATACATACATACATACATACATACATAAATAGAATTTAAAAAATTTCCCCAGACAAAGGACAAATAACTATAAACTATAAAATCTAAAACTTGAATTAAACTACTGGTTTCAAATAGTTCCTTCCTAACTCAAGGTTTCAGACAGTCAATAGCAAAATGGTAATTGTCTTGAAATACACGAAGTCATGTAGGAGAAGGGCAGAACCAAAACAAAGAAGCAGAATCACTAGTTGCTTGGAAACTACAAGAACACACATTTCGGCTTAATATAAGGAAGATGTCAACAGATAGAGCTGTTCAGCAATGGAACTGGTTACCACCTGAGGAAAGAACCCTATCATCAGAGACAAAACAGTTATATTGGTGGCAGGGAGGTCTTATAAAAGACAATGAGCTCTTTCAGCATAGGGATTATGATTCTAATGTTAGGCACCTAGAATATATTAAATAAATGTTTAAGTGAATGAAGCATGAATGGATGGAAGAGGGGTAGATGCAAGTGTAGGTTGGGCCGAATGTCTCAAAAATCCCCTCCAGCTTTAGACTTCTATGATAACATGAAAACCATGTCACATCTTCTTTATCATTTCTCACCAGTCTCCTGGAGGAGACAGTACTTAAAATTAGCAAGGGAAGAAAAAATAATGGACTTATCCCAGATAATCAGATTTTAAGATATTCCTGAGGTTGTGACTATTTTAGTTGACAAAGCCTCCTAATGCCACTCTACCTTTGTCTCCAATTAACCTAAGAGTGTGCTAGCCTCACAAACACTGCTCCTCACTATATGGCATTGACTTCTCTTTGAGACTGCCCAAATAACACATACAGTAGTCAGGCTGAGACTATACTCCAGGGAATAGAATAATTAAGAATTTTGTTTGGAGCTAGTTGGATACCTTTTCATGTCAGTGGATTTATCCATTAAAGTTGAAACATGACTACTATAGCCATTAAAAATGTACTCAAGTACTATAAAGACATATCTCATTAAATCATTTCTGGCAGTTTCTGCCAAGCAGTGAAGCATTTTTCTTTCACAAAGATCAGTTAGATAAAGTGCTGGAAAAAATGGTAGGCTCTTTAAAGGAAATTAACATTTTTTAGAGGCCCAAGTACAATATAGTACAGGACAATACAGCAAAGTAATATTTGTAGCACGGGGAAAAACTTCCTTGTCTGTCGATTTACAAAAAATGTTAAAAACCAAAGTAGCAAATGACCATTTTTACAAGATCATCACAGATTAGAACTTCACTTACGCAGCTTCGTTTCTCTTTTACATATTTAGGTGGTATAAATACATATTCAGAGGATGGCTTGAGAGGTCCTGTGGCAGCTTCCATAATGAGTGTCCAAAATATACCATCAGTTTAAATAAAAATGGTCAATCATATTTTTTATAAAATATAAGTGGGTAAAGGTTTTACTGGACTAGCCAGCCCAAGCTTTTGAATATTTGGATCATGTTCTATCCTAAAAAAACACTGGTTTAAATAAGTTTTCTGTGCTATTTAGTTATGAACTCTTTTAAAGTCATGATGATGATTTAGTCTAACACATAGTGAGAACTCAGTAAGTACTTTTTAAATGAATAAATTGTAATGTCCATGCTCTCTTTCCCATTCCCTTATAACCAAGGTCAGAGGTGGGCATGGAAATACTACTTGTAGCCAGGGAACAGAATTAAGATACTGCCTTTTAACATTGTTCAGGCTCATATAGACACACAAAGGCAAAGCCCATACACAAAGATGTTCAATCCTATCTGCCCCTCCTCTTTGCTTCTATGGCACTCTTTTGTGCACTGCTATCACTGCATTTTTTTTTTCCTTTTTGTCTTTTTTCGTATCCGGCAACAGATCACAACCCTCAGTGTCGTGCCCGTACTGGACCGGGACCGGCAACGGGATCGCAACCCTCGGTGTTGCGCCCGCACCTCACTCAGCCAGTGAGCGGGAACCGGTCTGTACGTGGGATCCGAACCCTCGGCGGGAGCGCCACCGCACTCCCAAGCAGCGCACTGTAGCAGTGCGCCACCGGGCCAGCCCCTATCACTGCATTTTTTACATTATGCAATCATTATTAGTTTATTGATCCATCACCCTTGACTCTGAGTACCTTGGTATAGGTATAAGGTTATTTATCTTTGTTAATTAACATCAAGCACAGTGTCTCAGTCATAGAAGGTACTCCAACTCAAGGAGTTAAAGGACCTCCAGGATTAATCCTAATAAAAATACTCAACTACATAGTCAGCAGCAAAGAAAATCCCTTTATCAACCTGAAGATTCTAAGTAAAAATCATTTCAACCAATCCATTTGAATTCTGTCTGCTGAAACATGAGTCTAACAGAACAAGAAGGAACATATTAGCAATAACCTTGCATGGAAAGTTTTCTACCTTCAAGAATTTACTGAGACTTTGTTCACGCTATATTACCTTTTATCAATTCATTGCTGTGGCAGATAAAAAAGAATAGGAAGTGGGCAGGCGGGGAGAGGATAGGCCTTCTGTTCAATGAAAAACTGGCAAACAGGCTTACCTCTTCTGACTGCTCCCTGGTCTGTGCAGGTGACAATCTCCTTCCCACTGTAAGTCGATGGCAAGGGTAAGAGAGCCCTGATTCAGCAAGACACATCTGCAAAAAGTAGAATCCATCATTTGTAAACAAAATGTGGCCATGTTTCAGAAAAGGATCTTATTTTTCAGATATTTTCTATTATTTCTGAAGCTAGATTAGAAAGCTTACTCTAGTATCCTGGGCATTACATTATCAAGAAGGCACTGAAATTCTGAAAATTTTCCACATAAGGAATGTTATAGTAGCCAAGGTTAATCTTCTTTTAATGATAGACTGGGGCTCCTGGAAACTGCAATGAGCTGAAAATAAGGCAAATCATACAAACTTCCCCCCATCCCCCGCCACCCACCCGTGTGTGTCTGCTACTTTTCTCTTCCTAATTCCCAGGGCAGTAAGGGTAAAAAATAGAAAACTGTAGGAGAGATACTGAATCAGAAAATTCCAGAAGACACTTATAGACCAAAAATATATCAAAATATAAGTTTAGGTTTTACCGAAAATAATGTCTGAGCAAAGAGGAAGTTGCCTTATACTTGAGTATTTACAAAAGTTCTCTTATTACAGAGTGCTCCCACAAATACTTTATTTTGAACTATAGTACACTGTTTCAGAAAGACAAATTAGCTTGAAATAACCCCAGTCAATGGTACTTCAAGTGCTCACAGAGTTTACCTGTCAGAACTGGTTAATAAAGAAGACAAGGATATTTATTATCAATCACATGATTATTCCTAGAGGTATGATCTCACAATTGCAAGTGTTGAAAGCCCTTGTAAACAAGCCTTTAAAAGATACTTTGAAAAATGCCTTGGGAAGATGATGAATGTACATCCACATGACAAATTTAAGAAAAAATGAAAAACCCACAACCGTCTTAATGATACATAAACAGGGACAGTATTAGATTAGTACTTTCCCCATAGAATAGAGATAAGGTTGAGCTACTATAGGTAAAGCAATAAGAAAATGCCCAGCAAACAGTTGATTCTCAAAAAACACTACTTTTTATTATTCTGTGAATGAATACTTGTGGCTTGGGATAAAATGTTCAGTGAGAGCATGATATGCTGATTCAAAATGATGCTGAATCTCAACTTAGAGTGAAGAGGATGGACTCTAGAAAATGTGATTATAGTGATGATAACAATGATTATATATTAAAAATACATATAGAACTTGAATAAAATTATCTCATGAAATGTGGCGGTGGACAAAAGAAGTATTTCTAAATTAACAGTACTTTATATATTACTGTATTAATATTATTTTAAGTATGTCTAATTAAATAAATGAATTAATCTGACAAGTATATATTATACATACCAACAAAATGTTATACATTTAAACGGTCCAAAGAACATTCTTTTTTTTTTGCAAAAATAAGGCATTGTCTTACAATATTTATATTTCTAAAATAAGGCCACATTTTTAAGCACATATAGCTACAGTAGGCAAGAATTCAATCTGATTGCTCTTGTTAGCTGTCAATGATTAAAATGTAAGGATGACAAATCATTTTTAAATTAGGAAGAAAAATGGCCAAAATCAAGTAAATTTGCTGTGTTAAAAAGTAGTCCAAGGGAAAGGCAGGCATTTAAATTCTTGTTGATTGCTAAAAGGAACTTTTTCTGTTTAATGACAGGAGATAGCCCAGCGTAGCATGGACTTTTAAAGTCAGAGTATCCTGAGTTCAAACTGACTTCTACTATTTACCCCAATCAATATTTTACATTGCAAACCCATGTTTCTTCTTCTATAAAAATTGATATTATCTATCCTAACAGACTTTCTGTGAAGATGCTTAAATGAGAATACATTTGCCACATAGTAGATATTCCATCGGTGAATGAATACTCAAAGCCCATCTGAAGTTTTTTTCTTTTCTTTCAGAAGGTATTTAGTATTAGGAACATACTATGTCAATGATTCTCAAAGTATGATCTATAGACACAGGGTTCTTGAGATCCTTCCAGGGGTTCCACAAGGTCAAAATTATTTCATTGTAATACTTAGATGGTATTTGACTTTTTCACCATTTTTACACTGATGTTAAAGAAGCAAAAGTAGGTAATCTGCTGCTATAAGATAGTGGTACCAAATTGTGCTCGACAGCTCAATGTCACTCTACTCACTAAATTTTTAAATATAATTACTTTTCATAAAAATGCTATTTATAATTAACCTATCATTAATTTATTATCTTAATTACTTAAATTTTTTCACAATATAAAATTCAAAAATGGCCAATGTCAATGGATATAATCCACATTAACAAAAGCTCTCTGGGGTCTTTGTTGATTTCTTTAAAAGAGCAAAGGGATCCTGAACAAAATGTTGTGAACTGCTGAAATATGCAATGTGTACAGATGTAACTAGTTTTCATGAATAATGACAATTATTTGAAATAACTTAGAAGCCAAAAAAGCACTTTATTTTGTGAAATTTGAGAATTTTTTTCAATGATGTTTCCTCTTACGTAATTAAGAAAGCATATAATGTTTTCTTTACAAACATATGAAAATAAAATATTAGGACAACATGCAAAAGAAAACTCCTATAAACCATCGTGACTGATTATTGGCTATCTCTAGCAAGTTGTTAATAAAACACAGTATTACTGTTTTAAGCTTGGCCTTTGGGGTGTTTATAAAGTCTTCCTTGATACTGCTTTGTTTAAAAACATGAATTAGTTCTTGAAAGTATTTTTTATTTGAAACCCAATTTTTAGCACTCTCCCAAATACATACATGCAGTCTGTCTTTCTTCCTAATTATTAATGACAGCGACTAAGACATTTGAAGATTACTGTACTGAAAGTCAGAAGACATGAATGATGGGACCTTGGGTCAGTCATCAGGAGCCTTAATATCACCTTTTGTAAAATATGGGAATGCCCCACTGAAGGACCTCTGAGATCTCTTCTAGCTCCAATGGACTATGATCTTAATATGTCACTAAGGAGATTCAGTTATGTTACATGAAGGCTCCTTGTCCTACATGTGACACACCCAGTAACACAACTGGACAATTCTGAAACTATAGCTTTACTATTTGTATCTTTTCTATTTTCAATCAGTTTGTAAGATATGATTCTTCTGTGTTTTAAAAAGAACATTAACATAAGAAAGCTTTTTAAAACAATCATGTCCCTAGCTTGTCATCATCCTAACAAGGCACCAGCATAATTAATCCCATCCATGTTTGGGAATGCTATGGGGCACTAGCACTGAATACAATCATTGCAATACTGCAAAGATACAAATGTATATATAAACAGCACTGAGTATTGCTTCATGGAAGCATAACTGATCTACAATAAACTATACATATTTTGAAGTGTATAATTTGATAGGTTTTCACAAATGTATACATACACCCATGAAACCACTCAGAACTTTAAAAAAATATTTGAATAATAATTGCTATTATTGAGAGCTTAACATATATAGTAAATATGTGAAATGCTTTATATATACTACCCTACTTAATTCTCACAATAATCTTTCCAGGTAGTAGATATTATAATCCCCATTTTAAAGATGAGGCTACTAAACCTTACATAAATTAAGAAGCTTACCCAAAGTTACACAGGTACTGAGTGGTGGGCCAAAATTAAAACTCAGGCAGTTTTACCTCAGAATGATCAAACAACTATTAATGCTCTAGTATATCTTGTCATGTGGTCTGATAAACAATAATTACTTTCTTTGATTTAATTAAAACAGCTACTCATGGAGACCATCAATTTATCAGGCACTATATAGTAAGTGTTTAACATATATCTACCATATGTGACAACTCTGGAAATTAAAGATTACCATGATTGTACAGATCACAAAACAGCCTTAGAGAGGTAAAGTAACTTGTCCAAAATAAATTAGCTACTAACTGGCAAACCAGATTTAACTCCAAAGGCTATGGAGTTTTCTATTACATCACATTTCCAACACAAATCTATTCATGAGTAAGAAGCTCTGAAGATGACTGCTGGATCACACCTTTAAATTTTTCTGATGCTCACTGAGGTAGTTTTAAGCCAAACTGAGTCATGAGGTTGAAATATCATTTACTGCCAACAAGAGTGCAAATCAAAAAGATTATTTATTTTTATTCACAATCCAAGCTTTTTTTCTTTTTTAAGTCACTTACGTGCTAGAAAAGTCACAGAGCTTTAATTTGTGGCATGTTGAAGCAAGCTTATTAAGAATGCTAGTTACCAAGTGTACATCCACTTGTCTGGACTAGCCCACTGCCACATTCTTGTAGCAGGGTTAAATAGCAGTTTAGCCACCTCATAAAAAAGCACCATGCTAAAAAGGAAGTGACTATTAATATTATGGAACCAATGAGATATTACAAGAGATGTGCAGGTCAAGATCAATTATCTACAAAACTCCTATATAAATAGCTCAAAAAACTGTGTTCTCTGCTTGGCCTTCCTGTCCTCAATGATTTTGCAAATTAGTAAGGTTTGATAAAATAAACACCAACAGTAACAAATTCTGAGGCTTTTTGCTATGTACACACACACAAATGCTACCATGTAAGCAAACAGAGTTGGAAGAAACAAGGATGGCTGCTATAGATGGCTTTGTTTTATACTCATATAATATTAAAGTTAGAAGAGTCCTTAGAATTCATCATTTGCTGGTATCCCAACCAGGAGACCACAGACCTTGAAGGTTTAGCTGAGTCAAGTGCTGCTGCCATACCCTTCTCTGCAAGCAGCCCCTGCCCCATTCCAAGCTACTAATGAGAATTTCCAGAGAAGGTTTCAGCAGCCTACTCAAATTTCTATCAGTAGTCCCACAATCCTGAACAGATTCTAAATGAAAGGCAGTTTCTCCTCATAAGATCTAGTTGAATCCTTCCATTTTTAACAGTGGTAGAAACAGAGGTTGAGGAAAGAGAAGTAAAGTTGTTTGCCCCAAGTCTCACATCTGCCTAATGACAGCACGAGCATGTTCTTTTGACTACTAATATAGGTCTTTCTACTAAATAACCTTAACTACATTTTTCAAAGATGTTATAGTTAGTTGCAAAATGCTAATAAGTAT